TCGTTGTCCAGCAAGTCTTGCCCCACCTAAGCCGATATTTCAGTGCAGCTTTTGGCTATTAGAGATCGTTGTCCAGCAAGACTTGCCCCGTCGCTCGCCTACGCCAATATTTCAGTGCAGCTTTTGGCTATTAGAGAGTCATAGGGCCTGTAAAATCAGCGCAACATAATGCCATTAGAAATTGGCACGTGAAATACAAATTGGAATTAAATGTGCTGTCTTTGTGCTATGGTTCCCAGCCTCGGGACTACAACTCCCATAAATCCTGGCCTGTGAGGTGTAGGAGGTCCACCTCAAGGCTAAGATGAAACTTTTCGTGCTCAGTTTCACTTAGTTTTGTCTTTTTTTTCTCCTGCTAAGTTTAGACCGTCCGTTTTTCGCTCCAGGCTGGGTTTTCTGCTGCTGCGGGTCCGCCCCGAATTTTGTACGTGCTTTAATGTACCTCTTCAGATGTCTGCATTTTGGGGTGTATTTCTCGCCCCCCCTCACCCAGTCCCTGCATCTTCCTCTGTTTTTTTTGCTTTGCTTTGTTTTGTCGTTTGCAAATCAGATCACAACCCTTGTGATCCATTTCGGTGTCGCTCTCTAACTGCATTCTGGTTTGCCTCCAGATTTGGGAAGTGCGAATTTGCTTTGCAAAGGGAAACGAAGAGATTTCGGCCACATCCCCCAACCGAAAGCTTGTGGGTGGTAGTTTTGGTTTACGATGGTTTTTTTTCCCGGTGAATTTCCGGACAGAATGAGCCCAGGTGTCTGGTTGCCCCCTCTGCATTAATATTTGCCGGATTTCACCCACTGACAGTTTGGCCCGCAAATTCGTTTTCTTCCTCACCCCAATGGCCAAATCTGAGAAGAATCTCGAACCCGTTCCGTTTTGCATCTATAGCAATTAATGTGAACGCTGTGCTGATCTTTATGTACCTGTTATACCAGTGATGGTGGGCTGAGCGCTCATAGAATCAAAGCCTTGGATTTTTCTTTTTCTGGTACCAGGAACTACAACACCCATCTGCCACTCCTCTTTTCACTTTGTGCTTAGCTGCAGACCTCACGGTATCAGAGAGAAACCGATTTTCTTAGCAACTTTGTATGACTGCACGCTTTCCCTGCTGTCATGTGTAGAGCATTTGAGGATGGTTTGAAAGGGGCAGCTAAGAGCCATTAAGTGTACAAAAGACCCGCTCCATGTTGATTTATACGGTCCAATCCAGCTGCCTGCATTTCTGGACTCTGCATATGAGTCTTATCATGCATATGAGTCTTATCATGATCAGTACCCAGACTTCTTTAGCTTTACAAAGATGTTTCAGAATGGCCATTTAAAACAGATTTACACGCCACCCTATTAATGCAAATCACTAATTTGTCGCACAGGTAGAACACACAGATTTAATCAGGCAGAAGGACGCCGTAGGCTTTCTGGACGCCCGCCTGTCAAGAAATCTTCAGGAGGACAATCCCCGGGGCTGGAGGGGTGGCCGAGACGGCCTTTGCTTCCCCTCCTGCGATTCCCGGAGGCGGCACCTGGCAGCCCGTTTCCCCGGCAGAATGATGGGCCAGGTAGTCCTTCGGTTCGATCCGACAGGACTCCTCTCGGGCTCGCACGCCGTTCCCCTGTGGAGCGTGCAGGGCGGCGCACGTGGGAGCCCGCATAACCCCCATCCTTGATGCCCACCTGTCTTCCATTCGTGCCCGGATCCAATCCGGACCCGCAGGAATGGACCCCCTTGGTTGACCTCATGGAGGAAGCCGTGGGCCTTGGTTTGCAAGAAGTCCTGAGCGGGGCGGTTCGTAACGGAACCTTTTGGCGACCACTCATTTATAGGGTCACCGTAAGCGCGGTTTTGATCCTGCGCTCTGCGTTCGGTGGAGGGGGGGAAACGGTCGGTTTCTTGGCTGCTGATAGCTAAGGACTTTTTAGGATTTTCTCCCTGTTGGTCCGATGCAGGGGATGGGGGGCAAAGGGG